ACCACCTACCACCACCTGCCATTCCGCCACCCACCTGCCACCATTGCCCATCACCCGCCACCACCACCACCCACCCGCTACCACCCACCACTACCCGCTACCCACCACCCACCGTCACCACTTTCCACTGCCATCTTCCGCCGCCACTTGCCATTTTTCATTCTTTTTTATATTTTTAAATTTTGTTAAACATTTTGTCAATTACCAAACGTGTTTGTAGTTTATGTTTTTCTAAAAATAAACAAAAACCAGTTTATAAAATTTTTTTAAATATAAACTGAAAACGTAAACGTTACCAAACAGACCCTAACCATTTCATTTTCAGTTTTTAATTTATATTTACAAAAATTTAAAAAACTGTCATAAAAACTTGTTTGATAATTTTTTTGATTTATAAATGGTTGTCTCAGTTTGTAAATTTGAGGAAAAAATGTAAATTCAAAAAATAAGTTTACGTTGGTTTTTAAATAGAAATTTAAAAATTTTACTAGCAAAAATTTTTTTCAATTAATTTTTTTTCAAATAATTTTTTTTCCAATTAATTTTTTTTTGGTATGAATTTTTTTTCCAACTAATCCCCCCTGAGGTTTATGTTTATTACAGTTCTCCCCTCACCTTTTGGAAATTACATTTCCCCCCTAAGGTTTAAAGTTTCATTACAGATTTTCCCCTTTAGCAATTTAATTTTTTTAAATACTAATTTTGCCCTCAGTGGATAAATTACATTGACATCCTTCACATTTTAAAAATTAATTACAATCCTCTCCCTAAGGTTTAAAGTAGCATTACCAATTGCCCCATTGGTTAGTATCAGTTACAAAAAAATTAATTGAAAAAAAAATTTATTAGTAAAATTTTTAATTTTTTGTAAATATAAAAAAGTATCGAACAAGTTTTTATGACATTTTTAAAAATTTTTGTAAATATAAATTAAAAACTGAAAATAATGGTAAAAATATCATAAAATTAACAAATCTATCTAATTGAAAATGTGTTAGACACAATTGTCCTACTAGGACATTTCAAGAGTCAGGATTCATTTGTGTATTCACATGAATGGCTCAGATAACCCCTTTAATTTTATATCAATCCTAAATATATACCTTCCCGCCCAAACATGCCTCCTCCTTACCCACGTCTAGGGATGGCAATCTGAAACCGGCCCGACGGTGACCCGATCCCCCGACCCCGAATTCAGTGGTTATTTACCGAAAAATATCCCCTACGGGCCGGGAATGGTATTCAAAAATTCATCCCTGATGATATCCGGGCCGGGGACGGGGACGGGGATAGGTGTTTCAGACCCGGCCTCGGCCCCGCCCCCCGGCCCCGGCACCGCCACCGCCCCGCTTAGTCCCCTAGCTGAAATTACGATTTTGTCCCTGGATATATATATGCTTGATTTTTGTTTAGGTTTGACACAGACACACACATTCAACCTCCCACATACGGCGCTCCTCCCTCTCTCTCACACTCGCCGCTGGTCTCTCCCTCTCTCTTTCATCTGTCCCCGCCGCGCCTCCCTCCTCACCGACGGCGATCCTCCGTCACCACCGAGCCTCCCTTACCGCCTCACCTCTGCCGTTTACCGTTTTACCTCCCCGTCTCTCTCTCTCTCTCTCACACACACACACACACGACGACGGGGCTGTTGCTCTCTCCCTCACCGCGGATCCTCCATCACCGCCGCTGCTCTCCTCCGTCACTGCTCAGTGCTCTCTGTTTAGGTATCTCTCTCTCTCTCTCTCTAGGGATTTGTCTAGAGTTTATATATATGTCTATATTATATATATATATATACATCTGAGTGTATATAGGGTTTCGATTAAGGGTTTCGATCTGAGTGTATATATATATTTCGATCTAGGGCTTCGATCTAGGATTTTCTTCAAACTCTTTTTTTTTTTTTCTCTAAATTTATTTATTATATATATATATATATATATATATACATCTGAGTGTATATAGGGTTTCGATTAAGGGTTTCGATCTGAGTGTATATATATATTTCGATCTAGGGCTTCGATCTAGGATTTTCTTCAAACTCTTTTTTTTTTTTTCTCTAAATTTATTTATTATATATATATATATATATATATATACATCTGAGTGTATATAGGGTTTCGATTAAGGGTTTCGATCTGAGTGTATATATATATTTCGATCTAGGGCTTCGATCTAGGATTTTCTTCAAACTCTTTTTTTTTTTTTCTCTAAATTTATTTATTATATATATATATATATATATATATACATCTGAGTGTATATAGGGTTTCGATTAAGGGTTTCGATCTGAGTGTATATATATATTTCGATCTAGGGCTTCGATCTAGGATTTTCTTCAAACTCTTTTTTTTTTTTTCTCTAAATTTATTTATTATATATATATATATATATATATATACATCTGAGTGTATATAGGGTTTCGATTAAGGGTTTCGATCTGAGTGTATATATATATTTCGATCTAGGGCTTCGATCTAGGATTTTCTTCAAACTCTTTTTTTTTTTTTCTCTAAATTTATTTATTATATATATATATATATATATATATACATCTGAGTGTATATAGGGTTTCGATTAAGGGTTTCGATCTGAGTGTATATATATATTTCGATCTAGGGCTTCGATCTAGGATTTTCTTCAAACTCTTTTTTTTTTTTTCTCTAAATTTATTTATTATATATATATATATATATATATATACATCTGAGTGTATATAGGGTTTCGATTAAGGGTTTCGATCCTCTTTTCTCTCCCTATCTCTT